TTCAACCAAGCAAGACCCTGCAAAGAAAGCTCATTGAAATGCAGACATGCTCAGAGCCAGTTTGGGCGCTCACAGTGGTTAGTTAAAAAGCCAGGTCATTAGCATGCCACTCTACACGATGCCGGCGCACTCGGACACTCAGGCGCGAGGAACAGATGAAACATGTGTACCGGACTAGGAACTATCCCAGACGCAAGTAAAAGGACCAAAACAGCGACGCTGAAACGGTGGCGTTGCTATTCCTTCTTCCTTATCATGAAGCCTCAATCTTTCACGACCCGCATCCCAGATCAGTGTGCGGATATCATCGAAATCACGAGAGCCTCCAAAGTTGAAGGCCATGCGTAGACCAGACAAAAGACAACCACGGAACATCGCATTCATCTAGCTTTGACTACGTGCTGCACTTGGTAATAAGAGTTGGAATCGATGGGTCTCATTGGATACCAATACAACTGATTCAGTCGCTCTAGCTCGCTGAGCTTGGACGGTGGTGCGGACGAAAGAACGAAAAGCCGCTGCAGCGAGCGGCAAGTTTCACTTGTATGCTTCTAGTCTTGACTAGAAGTTTTAGTACTCTTTGACCTTTTAAATCGGCGGTGGGTAAATAGTTGTATTCAGGATCTTCCATCCGCGCCGGCAGCTCCCATCTGAATTGCCCTTCTTCTATTCTTTTGCCGGCTCGGAGACATTCCTTTAGCCACTCGTGACTGACGATGTGGACGCTTTTCCAATCTCTGTGGGAAATGTACGTCGCAAAGCCTTCTTCATTAGAGAGTTCACTCTGCGAAGTCACTATGTGCAGGAGTTCCGGCTTGTTATACTCAAAAATACATTCGCTGTGAGGCTCTTCGATACGCGGTTTGATGGTACAGAAACCGGTCCACTTAGATGGCTCTAGATACTTGCTTGTGAAGGGATTAGAGCATCCAATCAAAGCGTGAAAGCGTTTCATGGCTTTAGTTTGAGTCGGGGTTTCGTACGCCTGTTCAACTAAGGACAAGCCACAACTGGTGACGAGGCCGATGAGGTCCTCAGTAAACACTTTTTGGGAGGATGTCTCGCCCATTGGAATTCAATTCCGGAGTTGCGAATGTCAACAGCGTTTCTGCTCCGTCCTGGCTTTGGCCATGCATGGTGAATCTAACCAGAATCGCACCTTGACTACGAGTAAAGGGTCACCGAGCGCAAAGCTGTGAAATATTTAGAACCCAGGTTTGAGCGGAACCGAGGTTATTTCCACATTTCTATGACGAACCATCATTCGATTCAGCATAAGTGGTGGCTCTGTTTCCGATTGGGGCGCCTCGACGAAGGATGTGGTGCATTCGCAAACAGACTCCACAGCGGAAAGTCAACTAGGGATTCAGTACTGAGACTGAGCCTTTCCCGGCGCTCGTACTCGTTCACAGAAATCTACCTGACCGCTCTAGCGCTGGAGTGCTCTGACGCTGGAGTGCGTATTACCGCTACAGGATAGTTTGCTTGCGATGAAAGTCCATACCCCTTCCAGCCTAGCGAATACTAGATATCATGCTCCATAATAAAAAAAAGTTAAACAAAAAGAAAGAAAAAACTGCACGGGTTTGTGGAGGAAAGTCTCACTCCTCGTCAAGATGCGAAAACCTCATGGGGTGATGGTTTTCATCTTCAGCCTCTGTGTAATACAAACCTCTTATCGCGTGTCCATTTCTCGTTGTGGCTAGCCCATCTCGTCGTACGTACCATTCAGGTGATTTGACAAATGTCGGCTCGGAAGCCGTCAGAAGCTGCACATCCACCTCTCAAGTGGGAGATTCTGGTCAAATCTAGTCCCTACTTGCCCCGAGATAAGCAAGACGCCGTCTTTGTCGTTATACTGAAACCGGGCAGGGCAGAAGGGTGTGGCTTAGCGATAAGGTGATAAGGAGTGGCTGATCAGGGGAACGGACATTAGGTAGACTCGTGGCGAGGATCTCAGAGGAGCAGATCATCAATCCTACACCACACATTCAAGCACCTATCTTTTTCTCAAGTGACTGTGTGAATTGCCCTGATCAGAGAGGGCCCTCACCGGCCCTACTTCAATACTAGTTGCGATGCGTTGCTGCTACTGGTATTAATCTCAGCCCCTTAGCACTGGTCCTGGCTTGCAATCCTCCCTGCTTCCGGTCGAGTTCCACCGCTCTTGTACCGCCCTGCGTCAGTTTCGCGTTTCGGGAGCGATTTAGACGAATGGTTGTTCCGGAAATGTTGTTGGGCTTGTTCAAGCCGTGGAAACCCGTTGTCTTGCTGGCTGCGAGAGCATCCAGGCTCTGAACAGATGTACCGACTCCGAGCAAACCCACCCTCTCCATGGAGTTCACGGAGATGTCGTGCTAGTTTTTTCTTTGTGCCAATGGTTTTCAGACAATAAAGACAAGAAGATGGCCCATCAGTGCCACAAGCGACGTTATCAAGGTCGTCGATCCTAAGAAAGTTCCAAGTCTGAGCGAAGGATAGGGATTTCAAAACGGGGTGAGACGAACATTTGATGCGTACGAGAGTCTGAGCTGCATGGGATACCAGTAAGGACTGACCGGCAGTAGTTGATACCGGTGATGGCAAAGAGCTTCTGCTTCCCTCGTCTGACTCTTGAGATCGGCGCATCGAATCGCTAAGTGGTCGATCAGGGGCCGGCGGGTATGGGATTACAGGAGCCAAGGATGGCCCGTTGCTCAAGGAATGCGGCCGTTGAGCATCTTGACGAAAAGCTTTCGAGCTGTAAGGAAGCGGCTGCGGACTTTGCCAGTACATAGTTCTCCCCAGCGGTTCTCCAACAGACTTGAAGGGATGAAGGTTAATGGCTATCAAGCTGTTGGAGGACGCTGGTTCAAATATACACTCCATGTTCGCTTTCTTGCACCTCGTACATGCATCTTTGCTCCCAGACTGGAGCCCTTCACAACGAATCTAATTTCAAGTTAAAGAAGCCGTGTAGAAAAAGGGGCCAGGCGTCGAGCGGCCGTATAGAATGGACTGACCTTCCTCCTACGACAACGTTTGCAGGCAACCGTCGTCCGCTTATCCCGAGGTATCGCCACGACGCTAGAGAGAGTAAAGCATGGAGGATCGTCTGACGCGTCCAGCAGAGCAGAGTCGTGATCAGGCCTGTGGGATCCTTGATCAGACTGCGCTGGGTGACCCATAGGGCCTGGAGTTGACTATGGTAAAGGATACTGGCGTGTAGAGATAGCCGTTGGCAGAAACTCCAAGTTATAGTTGGCTTGGGGCTCTCCAGAGGCGTCTTTAAGTTGGCCGCCTCGAAGAGCACGTCCAAGATGATTGCCATCCTCTTTGGGTGAGTGATCTCTTTGGTCTGGGGACCGGTCGTGTCGTTCTGTATCCTCACCTCTTGAATCATCGTTCAGGATCGCCGCTATCCTATAGCTGCGACGTGGGCAGGCCGCAACAGGCCTCAGGGAGTTTTTGCCGTCATTTATTTGACTTCCTTGACTGTTGCCATCTAGTAAAGACCTGGAGCTGTTCGCGTTGGGGCTCGGATGCGTAGTCATTGACATCAAGCCTTCGGTCACCTCGGCACTCAGAGGTCGGGGCCGCGAGGACAGTGATGAGCCCAAGATACCGTTCACTCGTCGACGTTGCGCACGCGGAGAGCATGACCGGTCCCACCAATCTGGCCCGGGTCGCTTGCGCTTTAAAACGAACACCCCCTGGTGCTCGTTCGAACGGATGCTATTGGTCGAAGTGTGTTCATCACGACTGCCCTCATTTTCGTAGCGAGAATCGGTTGTTGCATCGACTGTATCGTCTGAAGAAGCTCGAGGGGGACGGAATTGATCGTTTTGGTCATGAAAGCCTAGCGTGCTTTTCGAAGACATCGTAGTAGGACAGGTTCAAAGAAATATCGAGTGGCGATAAGTAAAAATGAAGTGGCGAGAAAAGATGGTGACGAAAAGTATAAGTAAAGTGAACAAGGAAGTGAGAAGATGCCCCTTTTCGCGGGCACACTGGTCGACTTTTATTGCCCTAGCCCCCCAGGTGCACTCTTGTTGGGCGTGGATCAACTGCCCAAAACGGATGCTGATCTCTCAAGTCGGTATGACGTGACGAGTTCCATTACTTTAGGCTTGCCAAGAAACAGCTCAGCTTTGCTTTGCTTGTTCTTGTCTAGAAAGTCCTGAAGCACTTACTTGAAGCTGCCACGGTCATTTTCCATCGGCCATGTCTACTCTTTTCTGCCTAGACGACATGACCCCCTTCAGCAGGAGGCTTCCCAAGATAGTCATGCTCAGCTTGACTATGCTCCAAGAACGGCTGGAAGATCCCTGGACGGTTGAGACGGGTGCTCCTGGGACGACCATGCCATGAAGGTCATATGTCGTTTGCAGAAAAAGGATAGAAGCGAGCGTAGAGTCATCATCTACTCACTCCAGTGCTGCGCACTCTTGTAAAATCGTGTTCATGTCCATTTTTACCTCTTTGAGCCTCAGCCTTGGTTCTGCTATATCGTTCTTGGTGCTGTAAAACATACGCAAGTATGAGTATAGAGACTCATGCCATGACGCAGATGAGGTAAATTGACTCCGAACGTACCTATCACAAGTGTTCTTCGATTGATGATGGGAGGAAGCTAATATCCGAACTACGAGAAACAATGAAAGGACGACAACATGGCGAGGAACGATCACAGCACCGACATTCAACTCTCCTAAAAGAACTTCCTTCCCTCCACCGTCCCTTCGATTTAAGCTTGTCGTTGCTCCGACGTCACTGGTGTTACATATGGAGACGAAACAATGGGCCTTTAGGTACCCACAATGCTGGCCTATTTGCCACGGCTCACCAAGCATAAAGCTCGGGGGGCTCAGACTGGTCATCGCGGGACCGTGCCCTCGTTTGCTAAACGTCTTTCGTTGATAAAGATGCGCTCGCAAGGCTGGCGGAGGTCGGACGGCACAACAGGACAACAGCCGCCACGGCGACTGTCGGCAATTGAGGTATGCACCGCCCGCCATGACCAGATTGCATTGGATAATCTCGTCCCTCCGGTTTGAGAAACTGCTAGCCATTGGGTGGTTTAGCAAGTGACCCTGGTTTGGGCAGCCCGACTGCGCCTAAGAGTTCACTACAATAGAAAGCTACGTAAAGCAAGATTACGAACGCAGCAGGGTACTCGCATGATTGATAACGTAGCAAAGCCTCGGCGATGGCTGCTGTTGCATTGGCCTGGCGGAGTTTTGCCGTACTTCTGCTGTCTTACGCGCGCAGTTCTCACTCGAGCAAGGAAGGAGCGCGATTTCTGGGGCGGGTTTCAGACCGAGATCAAAGCAGTGTAGACGAACGGGCCAGCATTCGTTGATAGACCATGTGGCCGCGACGTCCAGGAGATGACCGTTGCTGAAGCATTGTATAGAAACATCGTCACGTAGATATAGATGCTTCCCGTTGATAATGGTCTCCCGGAGCGCAGATTCGGACACTTGTAAAGACGCGGTGAGTTGCTTCAGGGCCTCCCTCGTGATGCGGCCCCAAACCTGGAACTCGGCGGCACGCAATCGAACACTGTCTGCTCCGACGTCGTTGAAATAGTTGACGAGCTTCTCGACATCACGAGGATCTTCAGTCTTTCCCCAATGATGTGGATCCCCTGGTAATGGACGTTGGACCAGCGACGGGTGCACCCAGACGACGCCAATGACGTGTCGGTCCAGAGAATCTGTCATGACGCCTACGATGGAACAATACCGATGAAGTGGACGAGGCAGCCCGAGGTGCAAACCATGCTGTGCTGCTATACTACATAGCTAAGAGCGTATTCGGCGTCTACGTAGAGGAACTTAAGTCAATTTGGGCACGGACCAAGTCGGCTATGAGGGATGTGAAGAGACGTATGAATACTAAAGAGTACGGATAGTAGCGGGCCTTACTGCACCTGATTGTCGAAGCTCTGAGGTACTCAAAGGTCGTTAAAAGTAGTGGGCATTTGGACAGTGTAATGATTTCTTGCTACCTCTACTCTACTCTGCCCGAGGTGGGGTGTGGGGTGTCCGGAGGGTCACGTGACCTTCCCGGATTGTAATTTTCAGCCTCGCTAATTAGGCTTTTACAATCCGAGCATCTCTCGAACCGCCGTAATTAATGGGCGAACCCGTCCATCCAACCTAATATACCTCAGCGTTCTAGCCTCTTTCATCCTGCCTGCGGCCTATTCTATGAGCTTTCGAGTGGTGAATGACAAGGCATGTCAAGAAGCGCAGGGAGTCGTCATTTCAGCATCTTGTCAACCCTTCCAATATCGACAAGCACGAAGTCAAGCTTCTTTCGTTTATAATAACCAATCGCTAGCGGCTACGTCTCCTAAATGGCAGCAAGTTTCCCAGCAAGCGAAAGCTGCTCCACCTCGAATACACGCTGGATGCGACTAAACGCGGGACAAGCGACGTTCTGAGAGGACGAGAGGTGGGGGGTGTCATCCTGGGGAGACGACAATGAGAAGTCACGGTGTTCGTGGATGGTATTGAAGCCGCTCTGCGAGCGACCGTTGAATATCGTATCGGTATGTTCTGTCGATAAAAACAGCTACCGGGCAAGCTTGCCGCGCTGACAATCGGACACATCGCGCCTAGCCGATCACCATAAATGGAGGTCGCGCTAACCCCCGCCCCCCCCAAACCCGACAATAGACGAACCCTCTCCTCGATGAACACGACGCTCTTAACCTCCACGGATACATACTTTATTCTGCACAATCGGCCCATCCCGTGTGGAGGAGAAAGGCAAGAGCAAGGTAAACGCAGCCTCCGCCGGGCGTCTGTGAAAAGGAAGTGGGCGAGAAGGGATGACAATGTCAACCGCACAGAGATCCTAGAAGAGAGTAGAAGCATTCTCGTGCATTCTGTCAGGAGTCGAGTTGTAGAATGACTCTGCCAATCAAATGGGTGGATGATGGCTCAGCCTTTGCAGCCTTGCTGACATATCTCCACCGCAATTGGACGAGCGAAAGGTGCCGTTGAAGCCAATGGAAGCTCGTGGAAAGAAGGCAAACTCAACACTTGCACAACGAGTCGCCACATTCAACCTCGTTTGTCAACAGTGCATGTCGCAGCCATGTATGGAGATGATGCCTCCCACTATTGGTCTAGTGACGAGGAGACGCAACCTCAACCGGACGACGAATCATGTTCCGATCAGCCAGCCTCCCGCGCGTTGACACCAGTCCAGCGACCTGCCCGAAGGACGTTGCCATTTGTGCCGTATGCTAACTGGGATCCAGACCAGACGTACGACGACTTGCCTCCGACGTGTCTTTGGTACGTTCTGGAATGGAAAGTGATGTTCAACAACCGGAGGGTCCGAGTGCAAACCGAGGAAGGCCTTCCGGTAGCCCCAAGTGATTTCTAGGCCAAACACCCATCGACCAAGGTGACCGACATTACAAAAAGCCCGGCTTATCGCTTCCCATCTCAGACCGCCATCTTCGCCATCAAAAGATCTTGTAAGAATCCTTGACTCGACACACTTGAATCCCCAGTGTTCTTGTACATACCCACTGCCTCCTGGTTCGGCGTTCTCTTGTTTGGCACCAACTGCGCTCGTTCAAAGTCGATCATCATGACTCCATTCACTTCCAGATTCAGCAACATGTTAGCGACCCGCACATCGTTGTGGACCACCCCGTGTTCATGTACGGCTTGCAACGACCGCACTGCCATCTTCTCAAGTAAGTTCCTCTTGCCTTCGAAGCTTCCGCTTGCGTCGATGCGATGCCCTCCCCAGGACAGAAATGTCAAATGGACCACATACACCCGATGGTCATAGTAGTAGATCTTTTTCATTGGCCGCAGGTCGATGGCGCCCAAAAACACAGGCACGTTGGCTCCCTGAATCGACCGGAGGCGCTCGTAGACGGCAGCCTCATGCTCGAGGTCGCGGATGAAGGCCTGCACCGTTCCCTTGCCGACGAATGTGTAGCCGTACGCAATCATGGTCACCTGGAAGAGAACACCGCGGGCGCCACTCACGTATAGCGGCCTGATTCCGTCGTCCAGTGATTGCTCTAGTTGCTTTCGGAGAAGTTGAAGCCATTCTGTATGGTTGACCGGGTGAGGTGCGTGGGTAGAAGCACGTTTTCGGGCACGGAAACGGCGTTCATTGCGGTCATGGCGATCGTGTCCGGTGTGGAGCGCTATGTTGGGGCAGTCTCTGTCAAGGAAACCACTCCTAACCAGCCCCAGTAGGCATTTCTGTGTGCAGTATGCCCGGCCTTTCTCACCGCCTCCTCGTGGTTGTCGGGACGTAGCGTCCTGATTAGATTTAGTTTCCTGTCTTCTTCTCCTCCGTGATCGCGTTTCCATCGGGGTTGGGGTATCCGGCGGATTGGGTGTCAACTCGTCATCAGATGACTCCGGTTGATCCCTTCTTAACGTTCCCCTATCGACCTGGTCTCCTCGACTGGCTCGACGTCTCTTCCAACGACGCGCATGCGGTGATCGGTCGAACCCTTCGTAGGTAGTCGGCTTGTAGCCTGATGAGCCGCTCGAAAGCGATCTTTCGCTCTCGGGAATCGATCGCAGTGTCATTTCGAAGATGCAAGAAGCACGATAGCAATCCACTCCGGCCTGCTCTTCTGGATGACGCGAACTAAGCATGAGAGGACCAAAGTCAAGACAAACAACAGCGTTTTCGCGAGCATCGCGTGAGTGCGCCGAAAGGACAGACATTGAAGTGGGAGGACAGTTGACCCTGACGTCGTGTGTCAAAGGCTCGGGGGAGCTCAAGCGTCCAACAGCCGGCAAGGACTACGAGGACGTCGTCCGCCGTTGTGCCCACCCTGTCCGTGTTCGCACCAACGAGTGCGTTGGGGGGCCACAGGGTGACACAATGGCAGATCGCTGGCCATTGGCTCATCACAAGTTCATCACCGTTCGAATCACAGACCAATCATGGAGCGCCCATCACGATTGTGGGGGTTCAATGCGAGAAGCTCAATATCAACTTAGGTGGCCTACCCAGCCTGGCTAGCAACGCCTCAACCCACCCGTTGGTCTATCCGCAGCCCCTCCCTGAGACGGCCTCCCGTGTCCTGGCCGTCCTGGCTGCAAGGGCTAGGGATCACATGAAGCGAACGTCTCCGCGTCAGTCAAGGTCGCGTCCCCAAAGAAATGCTCGACAATGCCTCGCGTGAACAAGCCCAAGGACTGCTTCAGCTTCTCCATGTTCTCGTCAAACAAAATGGTAATGTCGATCAGGTTCTGCATTGCGCCGTAGGCACGAGGCAACAGGCTCTGGAAAGTCGAGGCCGTCTCATTCATGGTGGCCTCCATGCGGGCCACAGCCGACGCCGTCTCGATCATGGTAGCCTCCATGCGGGCCAGCCGCGTGTCGAAGTCCACCCATGCTTTGCCATCTGCCCATGCTTGACTAGAGTTAAATCAGGTTAGCTGGGCGAGCAGGGGACGAAGGCAGGGATGACTGTC